CACGTCCCGATTGACAATGGTAATACGGGACATGTGATCAGATGAAAATCCTGGACATGTCCCGGAATGTCCGTGTCCGCTCAATTTCGGCGGACAGTGTCCGGTGTACAACACTGGCTACATTTTATTCTCATTACTTTTTTCGAGAACTGTAATTGAATGGTTAAAAATTAATATAACTTTAAACTGTAAATTAAAAGACTAAAATTTAACATTAGCTCATTTTGTTTCCCACTATTTCGAAGGGATTACATAATTACGCTATATACACTTATGACATTAGTATATTTGAGGACAGTGGTCAATGTAATCAGCGTACATGTAATTTACTTTCAAAGCCTTTATTTTCTTTACATAAAATGTTTAACAATTTCGTCTTTATTATTAATATAAAATTAATGATTTTGTTACTTTTTTTTATTTGTCATACTTAGTGCGATATTTACAATCGGAATTGTAAAAGACCAAACGTAACTTTAATATATACTTGCATTCATTTGCAGATTTGTTTTTAAATTTTTAAAAAAAGGTACGAGTCTTTTTTTTTTTTTTTAAAAACATAAAAAAAATGAAATTTTTAAATACACTATCGCGAAAAAAGTTCTTAGAAAACAGCTGATAAAAGTTCCCTGGTCCGGCCGGATATGTTCTTATGTGTTACCACCAACACTACCGGTAGCTTTTAATCTTTTATATCGAAAACATATGGCGGGTCATACACCGTTTGGCAATGTTATATAACGCAGCGTTGAAACAAGGGGTAATTTTCGAAATCACCTATTAAAATCCCTTCGAAATTTCCTTCCTTTAGTCAAAAAGCTTAACACAGAAGACAAAAATTACTGTCACACGACTTTTTGGCCGAAATTATGAAAATAACTGTGACGTTTTGAAATTAAGAATTAAGGGTGAAGTGATTTTTCACACCGAAAAATTTTCCGTTCCTGGAATACTTATAAAAAAATGAAACATTACGGGATGATGAATATTTTTTATTATGATTACGTGACAGTGATTTTTTTGGTGGTTACGCTGGGGAAATCTTTTTTTCAGAAGCGCGACCAAAAAAGGCAGGCTCTGTTTAATAAATTCAATCAAAACTCGTATATTGAAAGTTTATTATATAAAATTTTGTTATAAACGTCATTGAATTTATAAATCAAACATTATGTAGGTATATTATGTTTATAAAATAAGTGTCTCTACCTTTCAAACCATCAATATAGTTTTAATCTCGAACTTGAAATGATTATGGTCATACAGACCGAAAACCAATCCAAACTTGTTTTTTCCAACCGCATTATAAATCGTACATCGTTCATTTTTTTAAATGGAAAATTTGTTCAATTAGATGTTTTTGATTCTTGACTGTTGAGGCATTTAACTGGATTGCAAATTCATTTTGTTATTTAGGCTTTCAACATCAAATTATAAACAGTAAGAATTTGGCGATCGAATGAGAATCACGGTAATCTATGTATTTATGATTCTTTTACCCTAAAATGCGTCACGTTTAAGAATAATATGTCCTCAATAAGGCAAGAAATTAGAGTCTAAGGAAAGAAAATAAATGATTTAAAATTACACGTAAAAATTAATCAAAATAGATGCGAAAGTAAATTTCTTACTATTTTTGGTAAATTTAGTTAGACTCACCGCCAATTTGTTTGGTCGTGGATAATATTCTCTGACCAATTCAATTTTCTAAACTATAAATCTTTGGATTATAAAAATGCTCGATTTTCAATTAAAAGTAATGCGGGTAATAAACATCTAGAATTTTTTTTAAACTTTAATAATAAACTTTAAATTAGATAGTATATTATGAAATAGGAACTCCGCCTTGAATCTTATTTTGACCTTCCGTTAACTTAGAAGGGATGAGCCTAACAAACTACATACGCATTTGAACTGATTTAAGCACTTAGGTCGCCGAAACTTCAGAAAGATAAAGCAAAGAGAGAAAAAAAATAAACAGGTACAAACTTAGTTTATGAAGCATATGATTATATTTTTCGCTTTACTTCCTTCTGTAAAAGTAAAAGATAGGATCAAAATAAGAAAAAAATAAAGAAAAATCAACCGCGTCGGACGGAATAGATGAAGTCGGAGAAGAAAAAGGAGTATCATAATTGTTACAAAAGAAATGTGTTACAAAATAAATAAAAAAAAGCTTTTATAATTTTATTGATAAATACTACTTATTGTTATCGTATAATAAACTATATCGCAATATCACGTGTATAATAAAAGACCAATAAAATTGCAAGTTTAGCATATCATGTGATGACTGATCAATATCCCGCTAAAAAAAATATTATAATCTTTGAAAATATTAATAGATTTATAAAAATCTATAAAACCTTAAATGATTTAATTACTATCAACCACTTTTATCTAACATATATATAATTAACTAGGGAGGTCTGGGGTATATCCATCTCTCTACCCCACCCCGTTGATCAAAACTTTTGGAACGAATCAAAAGATGAAAATAAAAAAGAAATCATCAGTTACTGTGCCCCGAAGCAATCCAATACCAATAATAATAATAATAATAAACTTTACCTTGCGACCCAACCCGAAAGAAATAAAAAAATTTTCATAGATAAATAAAAAAGAATATTTCACTTTTATTAATCTTGAAGATCACAGAAATGCCGAACATATTGGCCTGGTATTTATTTATTAAAAAAAACAAAAAAAAAAAAACTTTTCGTTTCTTTTATTGCGACAAAATAAACAGAAATAAAAGATTTTTTTAAATTAGATTTTTTAATGCTGCCTAATTTTTTTAATATGTCAATTTAAATATAACGGTGTTATACTTAGAATTATAGCGAACAAAGCAATTCAATAGTATCGTAGATAAACCTGTGAAGAAAAGAAGTAGTTTGAAAGTAAAGAATAATATTTTATTAAATTTTGAATTTATAAGTTATACAAAATTATATATTAATACTATGCTACAGTGATAAATAATGAAAAATAGATAAAATAATGAAAAGTACAATAAATAATGTAAAGAAGTAATCTATATTTTTGGGGGGGGGGGGGCTGACAACTAAAAAGTCGAGCGAACAATAATATAATTAATAAGATAAATGTACAGTAAAAACCCTATTTAATGGACTATAACTAACTAAGATAAACAAACCTGAGACGTTATGCTATGATATTTGGCCTCCCTCGGACTTTGAGGAGGGGAGTCGAATTCAACAGGAACAAATTTATATTCTTTTACTTGTGTCTATTGTATACATTATAGTCATCATATGTGGTCTTACTTTTTTACTCGGTTATTGGACTTCATTATTTTCACTCGTTTATCACGGTTGGACAACTTCAATTTTACTTGGATACCATAATGGTACTTTCAATGCAAGCATCATCAATATGTTGTTATGGGGCAATTCTCTTCTTAAATCAGTTAATTGTTTTTCTTCTGATAATGATGGTATGTCTTTGTCATTAAGTCAGGTGAGTTACAAAAAATAACAATTTGTCCTAAAACAAATAGGTTATATTTAAATCTCATATCGAATTAATTTTAGATTTACTACTACGACACGATTCGTGATTCTTGGATTACAAGAGTAAGCTCTATTAAAAAAAAAATTTTTTAAAATATTTAATAGCTAATAATTTTAAATCAAATCATTATATCTATAATAATTATATTAGATAACTTCAGATACAATTCCGTCTGACAGAGACTCTTTTCTGCTGTCCTTGGCGAGTATACTTTAAAAATTATTAGTAAAATTATTTGAACTACAAATTAACCTCTTATATAAATGGAATAAAAAGAAAAAGAGAAATAATAATAGAGCAATACCAACACCATGAAATGACGGCAAAAACAATATTAATCAATTCCTAACAAATTCTTCACAAAGATGGAATAATAGCTTTGGCAACACCATCAATAGTATTATTTATGATGATCGAAGAATACCAACGCCTGAAAATGCTTTTTCTGAACAACAAAGTCATCCATATCGAGAAATTACTATTCGTTAACATCTTCAAGTGCTGATGGTCAAAATTTATCATTACAAAACATTGACTTGGAAAATCTTAAAAATGATAAATTTCAAGTTGTTAGACAAGAGACTGCAAAACAAACAATAAATAGGTTATTTATTTTTTTTAATTTTTTTTAATTCATGTAAATTTAGATGATATAATACGATTTATATTTATTGTTTAAAAAAAAAAAAAAAAAAATATTAATACCCAAACAAGCGGTATTTTTATAAATGTCATCAAAATTCCAGCGTATGTTGTTATTTCTCTGAAAAAAACAAAAGTTTTTTATTATCTTAGTTTTACAAACTTAATAAAATAATTTAAGTAATAAAATTTATAGAATAAAAAAAAAAAATAGAGTGAAGTGAAAAATTTTTTAAAAAAATTAATGGGAAAGATTCTCACGTAAATATTATCAAAGTTATCATTATCTCTACCGGACAAAAGTCAAATTCGGAGTTTTATTTTATTTTTTTTTTGATATTTAATGTCCGGCGTACCGAATTTGCAATGTGAATATCTTAATTTTGAGAGACGTAAAATAACGTGACTATACAGGAGGTGATTATATAGAGGGCCAACTGTCATTAAAAGCGTTATTTGTTCTGCGAACATCACATATGAGGCTGTTGTGGCGCATTTGGGATATCCAAATCGGATATGCACGTTTTGGACATTCTATCATACAAATTTATTCTTTGTCACACAATAAATTAAATATTTAAAAAGAATGACCCACCAATTTTTGTATAATATTTAAAAAAAATTATCTTTAAAGTTTAATCATGTCAAAGAATTATTTAACACATATCGTATTGTGGCTTTTAATTCAATTATTAGTTGAAGTAGAATGCCAAATTGATTCTTTTAAGCTAGCACAACGAAGCGGCCATACTTCTACATTTATTGATAGTAATTTATATATCTTAGGTGGTCGAAGTGAGGAGACTGAAAGAGTTGGAAGTGAATTTTTTTATCTTGACGTCTCTGTTTCATTTGATACTCAAAATATATTATGGCGTGATTTAACCAGCATTAATATAGTACCAAAGCATAACGCAGCTGCATCTGTTAGTGGTGGTGCAAATAATAAAACCTTGTTTTTATACGGAGGATTTCCTTATAATAACACAGCAATGGATTTAGTTTATACATTTGATACTCAAAGTAATTCATGGAGTATTCCAAAAATAACAGGCGACAATATCGTTATGAAAAATAACCTAAAAGGCATTATTAATGTTTATGGGAAAATGTTTTTATTTGGTGGAATATTTAATGGCACCACTACTCAAAATGATATGCTTATTTTAGATACAAAAAATTTGAAATGGGGGTTAGGAAGTACAATTAATGCACCTTCTCCAAGAGCTGTTTATGGTGCAACTTACGTCTCAGATCAGCATATACTTTATCTAGGTAAGCAAATAATTATCATAATAAACACATATTATGGTTGTTCATTATTTGCTATTATTATTTATTATTTAGGTGGCTTTTCTACCGCATCTAGTGTTAATGGTGCATCTTTATCATTGAAAGAGGTTAATAATTAAAACGATATACAACTTAAAATATTCGTTTATTACATTTCTTAATTTTACTATTTATTTAGATTTATTACTATGACATGGTTGAAGATTTGTGGCTAACAAGAGTATGTTTATTGACTTTTTTTTAATTATTATAACTAAGACTTTACCTATCTTTATTTGATAAAATCAGGTGACTTCTGGTACAATTCCCTCTGATAGAGATTCCTTTTCTTCAGTTCTTGGTAAGTATTATAAAATAATCTCATTATTTTGAACTTCAATTAATTATAGTATTATTCTTTTTGTTAATAAAGGTTTGGATGGACAACAAGTAATAATCTTTGGGGGAATAAGTAATCTTAATAATATTAAACCTCAGCATGCACTTTATGTATTAGACTTAGTAAATTTGGAATGGTATATCCCAAAAATTTCCAGTAGTATTCCAGGTTCTAGATATTGGCACCGAGCGAATTTAATTGGAAAATATATGGTTATATCATTTGGTAAATATCTTTATTTTTTTTATTTTGTCATTTATTTTACTTTTTATATAAAAAATAAATTTATCATAATTATAAACTTATTAGGATTTGGTTATGATAGAAATGTTGACAATGATATCTTATTGCTTGATATAAGTAATGATAAAGAATATATGTGGACAAATATTTTTAATCCAAATATTCTAAAGTATCCTATTTTACCAAATGATCCTTTAAAAGATTTACCAAAAATAAATCCATTACCAGTTATAATTGGTATATCTATAGGTATAAGTATAGTAGTTATTTTTCTATTACTTGAAGGCTTTTACTTGTATAAATGGTATAAAAATAAAATGATAAATTTAATAGTATCATTACAAACTAACTAAAATTAATAAATAAAAATAAATATAAGAAGTAAAATAATAAAGTAAATATAATAATTATATGAAAAATAATAAAATTATTAAAAAATCAAATATTAACTTTTTAAAATGCAGATAATAATAATTATAATCATAAAGTTATAGGTAATCATATTTTTTAACTCATGCAATTGCTTTCAAAATAATAAATACTTTTTTTTATTTAACATTCTGTAATGTTTTTCAAAAAGATTGCTTAAAAAATATAATTTCTTTATTAAATATATATATTTTATCTTTATGAACTGTAATTATATTATCTTATTAAAAGAAAATTTTATAGAAATCATCTATAATTTGATAAAAAATATAAATCTTTTTTTGTTATAATTATTTACAGATATTTTATTATTTAATTTCTGCACAACTTTTTATTGTATTTAAGAAATATATATATGCTATATCTATGATTACCATAATACAGCTAGATTTAGATATATTTTAAAATAAAATATGTCTATTAATTTATAAAAGATTTATTATTAACTATTAAGATATCAGAAAATGTAAATAAATTATTTAAAGCTTTACAAGATGCTGAATTTAATTTTACATTAACTAAAATTCATAATTAGCTTAAAAAATAATTTGTATTAGAAGTCTGAATCAGTTAAAACAATTATATAATTGTTCATAAAATTTATAATTGATTATTATTCAAATTAATCATTGATTAATAATGATTATTCAAATTATTCAGATTATCTGAATAACTGATTAGTTAAAAGAACTAAATTATCAATTTATATTATTTTATTAATTAAAATAAAAAATAATATATTTTGAATTTATTTTTATTATTAGTAATAATGACAAATTATATTTTATTTTATTTCAATTATTATATTTTACTAATTATTATAATCAGATTTCTTTTGAAGAAAATATATCTAAAATATTCATATTTTATTTACAAAAAAATCATGTAGTAAAGTAAATTTGGATTCAAGCATATTACTGGTCAAAATTAAAAAAATCAGACATGCGAAAAATCAGTCTAAATTCAGCTTAAATTTGGCAAATTATCAAAAAATCAGCCTAGCCAATTGATATACACTAGAAATCAGCCAAGAATCAGCTGAAATTTGATATATCTTATTTATAGCCGATTGGTATACTTATTGCTGATTAGCATACGTTAAAAATTTGGCTAAAATTTGACTTATCTTATTTATAGCCAATTTACATTTGATTGGTATACATTAGAAATCAGCTAAGAATTGGCTAAAATTCAACCTATTTTATTTATAGCTGATTAACGTCAGATTACATCTGTTGGTATACATCAAAAATAGACTAAAATTCAACTTATCTTATTTATAGCCGATTGACATTTGATTTACATCCAATTGATATACATCAAAAATTGGCTAAAATATTTCAAAATAAAATAAAATTCAGAAGGAAATATAACTGATATTTAAGATTAACAGCCAAATAATGCTAAAAATATTCAATTTATTTTTACAAATAGTATTTTCTATTAATTGGATTAACAGCCAAATATTCTTTTGCATTTTTTCAGGCTGAAATTCAATAGTTGATTAGTACAAATCGACTCAAAATATGATAAACTGGTATTATACAATCACGACTTTCTGGATAAAATTCAGTATCTCATAATTCGACATTACATGTTTCTTCTTTACTAAAATAATACCGCATATTTGAAGAATTTGCAGATTTATATCAATGAATAAATGCTAGAAAATTTTCAGCCTTTCCAGATGGCAAATTGACCTTATGTGTAAAATAATATTAGAATTGGTCAGAATAACAATCAACTGTACTATTATTTGTAATAAATTTGACCAAAATGTATGAATTTTTTACATGTCGCAAAGATATTGACGATCTGAAGATTTCAGAACCAATTTGACACCTTTCAAATTGATTCATTTTAACCTGAATCGTTATACCATCTTCTGAATCCTTATCGAATGGTTTTCTAAAATCAAACGTAATATAAGTCATATTGTAGTATTCAACTATCAAATCAAGCATTTCGCTTGAAATAATTATATTATCAGATGATAGTTTAAGGAATTCATCGGGAAATGGTTCACTATCAGTAACATTTGATTTCTTAATATTTTGTGAATTCATCTAAATCAATGGATTTCGTCAGAAGAAAATTCATCTGTATCTGAAAAGGAACCAATTGAAGGCTGATTGTCTAGCAATTCAAGCCCTTTTACCTCAATACGACTGGAACTTGTAATACTGTCGATTTGAATATCAAACATCAATCGACGCATTAGCTCAGGTTTGATTTTTCTATTACTATTAGGTAAAGAACCTAAAATCGTTCATAAATTAGTAAGCCAATTTATTCAAGAAATTCTCAAAAAAAAATACCTAATATTTCAT